CATGGGAAACTGATTGAAACCTTGAATGGACAATATAGAAAATAAGCAGAATTTGTGAAACAAACTCAAAGAGACATCCAAGAAATAAAAAATTCTATTCAGAGCTGGCAGAACTGTTTAAAGGAAGCTGAGGATAGGATTTCGGACCTTGAAGAAAGGATTGCAATTAGCAGTCGTGAAAGGATAGAACTTTTAAAAATAACAAAGCAGCATGAAATGACAATCCAACAGCTTCAAGATGATGCCAAAAGCAACAATATAAGATTAATAGGCATCAGTGAAGATGCGGGAGTCAATGCAAATGACGTAAGTAAAATATTCACAGTAATAGTAGAAAATTTCCCAAACATGGGGAAAAAATCTTATATGCAGATAAGTGAGGCATATAGAATGCCAAACAGTCACAACCAACGTAAATTAACCCAAACATATAATAATTCAGATCTCAGACATACAGCATAAAAACAATACTAAAAGCTACTAGAGAAAAGACACAACTCACCTATCAAGGAAAGCCCATTAAAATCACAGCAGACTTTTCAGCACAAACCCTCAAGTCAAGTGAGATATTTCAAGCCCTGAAAGAACACAATTTCCAACCCAGACTGATGTACCCAGAAGAACTTTCATTCAAATTTAATGGAGAAACGAGATACTTCCGTGACAACAACTGAAGAAATTCATGTCCACCAAACCAGCCCTAGAAAGAGTATTGAAAGACATACTAGATAGAGATAAAAATGATCACAATCCCCAGAACAACAACAGAAAGAAACCATCAGGTAGGACAAGTAATTAAACAATAGGGAAAAGCAGAAAGCAAACAACTGAAACATAATATGGCAAAGTCAAGCCAGTATATATCAATGATATCCATAAATGTAAATAGCCTCAATTCACCTATCAAAAGAAATAGGTTGACAGAATGGATCAAGAAACAAGATCCCACAATATGCTGTATACAAGAAACACATCTGACCCAAAAGGAAACTCATATATTAAAAGTCAAAGGATAGAAAACAGTATTTCATGCAACAGGAACTCAGAAAAAAGCAGGGGTAACTATTCTATTTGCAGACAACGTGAACTTTAAACCTAAAATGATTAAAAGAGATAACGAAGGTCACTATATACTCATTAGTGGAAAAATTCAAGAGGAAGAACTAACAATTATAAATATATATGCACCAAATGCAGGAGCATCCAACTATATAAAACAGATACTAATGGACATGAAAAACCAAATATACAAGAACACAATTATAACAGGGGACCTTAACAGCCCATTGTCTCAAAGAGATAGATCAACTAGACAAAAAGTCAGCAAAGAAATAATAGAACTGAATCATACCTGTGAGCAGTTGGACTTAGTAGGTGTTTACAGGGTGTTCCACCCAACCACATTCTTTCCAGCTGCGCATGGGACATTCTCCAAAATAGACCATATATTATCCCATAAAACATTCTTAAGTAACTGCAAAGGTATTGAAATTATCCCATGCATAATATGTGACCATAGTGCATTAAAATTAGAAATTAATGGCAAAAGAGATTGCAAAACATGCATAAATACTTGGAAATTAAATAACCTTTTGAACAACCAGTGGGCTATGGGTGAAATTAAAGAAATAAAGCAATACTTACAATTCAATGAAAATGCAGAAACAACATACTATACTCTGTGGGATGCAATGTAAGTGGTCTTAAGAGGGAAATATATAGCAATAAATTGTCATATCAACAAAACAGAACAAGCACAAGTAAACAACCTAATGCTTCATCTCAAGCTTCTAGAAAAAGAATAAGTTAAACCCAAAGCTCATAGAAAAGAGGATTGTAAAGATTAGAGCAGAAATCAATGCAATTGAAACTAAAAAAAAGTACAAAGAATTAATGAATCAAAAAGCTGTTTTTTTGAGAAAATAAACAAAATTGACAAACCTCTAGCTAACCTTATAAAGAAAAAGAAAGAAAAAACCCAAATTCACACAACAAGGACTGAAAAGGGGGAATATTATGACAGATCCCGTGGAAATACAAAAGATCATAAATATCTACTTTGAAAATCTCTACTCACATAGAGTGGAAAACAGAGGAAATGGACAGATTTCTAGAAATATATGAATTACCAAAGCTCAACCAAGAAGATATAGCAATTTTGAATAACCAAATGTCAGCTATTGAAATTGAAAACGTAATTAACAAAGAAAAACCCAGGTCCTGATGGATTCACGGCTGAATTCTACAAGAAATTTAGAGAAGATTTGATGGCAATACTCCTTAAACTCTTCAATGAAATTGAAAAGGAATCAGTCCTCCCTAAATCATTCCTGAAGGCAAGTAAATTATTCTCATACCAAAACCAGAGAAAGACCCAATCAAAAAGGAGAACTATAGGCCAGTCTCACTAATGAACATTGATGCAAAGATTCTCAATAAAATACAGGCAAGTAGAGTGCAACAAATCATCGAGAAGATTATACATCATGACCAACTGGGATTCATCCCAGGAATGCAAGGATGGTTTAACATATGCAAATCCATAAATGTAATACACCACATCAACAGAACCAAAAACATAAACCACATGGTCATCTCAATAGATGCAGAAAAAGTTTTCGATAAAGTCCAACACACGTTCTCATGATAAAAACCCTTCAGAAACTTGGAATACACAGTGTCTGCCTCACTTTTATAAAGGCCACCTATGACAAACCAACAGCTAACATTATACTAAATGGACAAAACCTGAAAGCTTTCACTTTAAAATTATGAACAAGACAAGGATGTCCACTATTACCACTCCTGTTCAACGTGGTTCTGGAAATACTAACCAGAGCAATCAGACAAGAGAGAGAAATAAAAGGAATAAAGATAGGAAAGGAAGAGGTTAAATTATCACTATTTGCAGATGATATGATACTTTATATAGAAGATCAAAAAAACTCCATTAAAAGACTACTAGAAGTAATAAACAAATTCAGCAGTGTAGCTGGATACAAAGTCAGTGCTCAAAAATCAATAGCATTCCTGTACACAAACCAAAAACTCATCGAGAGAAGTTATGGAAATAATTGCCCTTCACAATAGCATCTAAAAAAATGGAATACTTAGGAATCAACTATATCACCATTACTCCTCAAGCTGATCAGAGAAATTGAAAGATGCTCCCAAACTCATTTATGGTAATCTGCTGTTGTCTGCTTTTATATAAAGGTGGGTGAACTAGACTTAGTCTCAACATAATATAAAAAGGGCTGAGGATGTAGCTCAGTGATAGAATGCTTGCTAGCATGTATGAAGCCCTCTTTCCATCCCCAGTACCAGAGAGAGAGAGACAGAAACAGAAATAGAAACAGAGAGAGAAATGAGCAATTACAAAAACTAAGTTCATGAAAGGCAAGACTCGGGAGCTATCACAAAAGGGTAAGAGAACTTTACCACTAATTCCACTATGGAATTTTGGATTGGATCATTGGATCAAAGACTTTTCTGAAAAAAACTGTTGAAATTTGTCTGAAAGTAAGGCCTGGCTCCCAGCATCCTAGAATGGTAGTGGGAGGACTGACAGGTACAGGTGGCTGACAACATTTATGATGGTAACCTGTTGTGTGGCACATGCCAGTAATCCCAGCACTCCTAAGGCTGAGGCAAAAAGATCACTGTGACTTCAAGGCCAGTATGGGCTACATAATGAGTTCAAAGTCAGCCTAAACTACATAGTGTGAGAACCTGTCTCAAAAAAGAAAAAAAAAAAACTGTTAACCTGATATGTCAACATGATTGGTTTTAAAAAAAAAATTGCCTAGCAGATTAGCAAAACATACTTTGGTTGTGTCTGGGTGGGTTATGAAGGTGTAATGTTAGGTACTATATCTGGTTCCTGACCTTGTCCTGTGGTACTGTTCCTCAACTCAGCTTCCCTGCTGCCATGAACTAAGCATCTCTGCTTTACCATTTTGCATAGCCCTACCACTGTGGTATTTCTGCTTCGATGCCAGCTGATTCTGAACTGAATGCTCTGAAACCCTGAGTCAAATTAAGCCTCTTTTACTTGGTGTGTGTCAGGTATTTACTTGGTGGATGTCAGGTATTGTCGGGAAATCTGGCTAATACAACACCCAAGTATGCATTTAATTTCCTTCTGTTTGTCATGGTGCCCTCACCCTGAACTGTTCCTGATATCTCCAGAGACTTGTTTTATTCTCTCCTGAGAATTATTTTCTGTTTCTTCGTCAAATGATAGAGGGGCATACATCCGAGTTTCTAGAATATGCAGTCTGGAGACCTGGCTGTGTCTTAAATGGAAAATTACATTCTTTGCTTTAATCTAGCTCCATTTCATCCTTTTATTTAGAGATCGTGGTATTGCCAGTTGATTCCTAGAAATTCTTGCCTCTCTCTACTGCATGGATAGGATTTTGTTTTGATTCTACCAAATCATTTACCTCCTATCAGTTCTTGGTTTATTTATTTTTTTAACTTGTTGTCTTCTGTTTCGTTTTCCTATTCTTTCTGATTTTAAGGGTTCATGTCATAATCTATAGAGTCAGAACTGGGCGTGTGACTCGTAGTAAACTGCTTGCCCTATATGTTTAAGATCCCAGGTTTAATCTCTAGTATCACAATAAAATAAAATAAAAAGCAGTAAAAGTGGGTGTGTGCTTAAATCACTGTCTGTTCTGACTTTTGCAATAAATTTTGGTATATCTCGGCATATTACTCTTAAATATGTCACATTTGGTTTCACATTTACTTCAGTTTTATGATTTCTTTTGTGGAGACAACTTCATCTAATTTTTAATCCTTTTCCATTTTCTAGTGACAAATATCCAACTTGTTCTCAGGCTGTTACTACTTCTGATATGATAAAAGCCAGAAGGCCCAAGCCTTTCTGCAAATCCTTCTTTTTCTGGTAATCTATGAATCAGATTTTGTTCATATTAATAATAATTTTAATTTCCTTTACTTTGTTTTGCCCTTGCCCTTCATATGGATAGTTTCCCTGACCAGAAATCTGTCACTTTACCACACATGAAGCTTCAGTGATGAAACTGTGGTCCTTGCTCAGGAGCAAGTGGAAGATGCAGATGGGTGAAGGTAAGGGCAGTGCATGCATGTGGAGCTGCGCTGAGGATGAGCAGAGTAGCACAATAATAAGGTACCCACTCTGTTCTTAAAGCATCAAAAACTTCCCAGAGAAGTGACATTTAAGAAAACCCCTGAAGGATGAATGGTGGTGATGCAGAAGCTTGTACAGATAGGGGGAAAATATGAACAGAAGCCTCAAGTAAAAAGAATTTGTTTTATTTGAAGCAGATATACCATGAGAGTCTGGGGCAAGGCGAGGTTTGAAGTGGTAAGGCATAATTGGTGATCGGAATCCAGATCATAAGATGTTTGTAAAGTTTATTATTATGATAAATTTCAAAAGGTGTATGAATGCTTGCCCTCTGTATGAATGTTCCTTTGAATGTGATTGAAACTCTTTCCATCTGAAGGTCAACTCTGCTTGTTATCTTTTGAATTTGGCCTTGGCTGGATGACTTCTCTACTCAATGAATTGATGGAAGCTTGAAAAGCAGTTGTGTGTTGGAGCTTATTTTTTTGCTCCTCCTGGGAAATGTAACCAACATCTTGTGAATGAGCCTGGGGTGGCCTACTGGATGATGAGAGATGTGTGGATAAAGCCCCCATCACACAGCTAACACTGACTAGCTGTCAGACAAGTGAATGAGTCCATCTTTGATCACCTTGTTCTCAGTCAAGCGAAGAACCACCCAGCCAAGCTACAAAATCATGAAAAGTAAGATAAACATTTGTTATTTCACGCTACTGAGTTTGGGGGATGACTGTGATGCAGCCAATGTGAGGAGGATTTTAAGTAAGGGTGACATGTTCAAATTAGCATAGTCTACAGATTCACTGGCATCAGAGAGAAGGCACTTTGGAGGAGGCTGGAAACTGAGAGACCTGTGGAGAAGCATTTGCAGTCATTTTGGGTGTTAAATGATAGTAGCCTGAAGGAGGATGGTGGGAGTAGAGAGAAATTGGTTTAGGAGATATTTGTAAGATTGGTTATTGCTTGGATTGGGGAAGAGTAATGATGGAAAAGGATGAGTGGAGGGTAGTCCCCTGAGCCTCAGGTTCTTGCTTGGGTAGCTGAATGGTTTATGCTTCCATACCTGAAGAGAGGACAGTGATCGGTGCAATTTAGGTCATGTTGTGTTTGAAGTACTGGGAGGCAGTCCTGGGAAGATGTGCAGTAAGCAGAGGAAATAAACAGATTAGGTGTGTTGTAGAGAGGGACCTGAGCTGGAGATACAGATTTGGAAGTCATGAATCCATGAATGGGGGTACAGGGGAAGATGGGTGATGTGAGGAGAGGATCCAGGAGAGAATGCTAAGAAAAGCCGGTAACTGAAGGATAATCAGGGAAGGAAAGTCTACAAAAGGATGAAGAAAGTCTAGAGAAGTAGGAAAGCTGAAGAGCTAGTTACTATTTTAGATAAATCTCTATTGGATGTTAAGTTTCCAAATGCAGTATGGTTGTCCTCTCTGCTTGTCCCCTTTGTACATTTTCAAATGCCTTTTAGACTCCCTCACATAGCCTGCCATTGCTCCATATTCAACGCATCCAAAGCCAGATGACATCTGTCCTGGGCTGGAGTCTGGAAGGGAATCTGGAAGACTGTAGAGGAAAATTCAGTTTGTTTATGGAAAAAAATGGAAATTGAACTGAGATCCTAGCCACATAAGCCCTTCTTTTCCAGCATTGAAGAGGCTCCTAGCACCTTGAATAAGAGGACTTATCCTGTGGGGGAAGTGCAGCTGTCTTGCCATGATGCTCAGAAGGAGACTGATGGTAGTGGAGGAACTGAGTGCCCTAACTTAATGTCTGCTTGTTGAGAAAGGAGACAGGGGCAAGGGCTGTCGCTCAGTGGTAGGGCACTTTTCTAGCATGTATAAGCCTCTGGGTTTGTTTCTCCAGCACTACAAAACAAGACAAAAATGGAAACAGATAACATACTGTTATTAAAGTAAAACAGAAAAGTAAAACAAAAAAGTTGTGAAGAAGAATGTGTATCTGGGGAACAAGATTAGCTATTGCTGTCTGCTGCAGATAGTTATTGACAAATTAATGAATATATAAGGATCCTAAAACAGAGTCAAGATTTGAATACAAGCTTGTTTTATTAAACTACAACAAATATGTAATATTTTGAAATAGAAATTTTTTCTTTATATGAAATAAGAGGCTTACTTAAGAGATACTCTGGGTAGTACAGAGGTAAGAACACAGGAATAATAACCTCAGTTCTGGCTTTATAGGCAAGTCTTACTTGGGCTAATGATCCTCCAGAGTAGTTCTAAACTGCAATGGGCAGTGGAATCCCTGCAGGGCTTATTGACTGAGAGTTCCATTAGAAAATTTGTTCTTCTAATGAGTCCCTAGGTGACAATAGTTCTGTTCTGGACACTGCAGTGTTAGCATGTCCAAAATGTAGCTCATCATCTTTGCCTGAGAATTTGTTTCTTCTCTTTTCTTTGTGTAGGTTAATGACTCTTAGCATTTACTCCAGTTCTTAGGCCAGGAATCTGAGTGCAGGAGAAGCAGGAACTTCTGAGACTTTTTACTAATTCTAACATGCAGTCACTGGAGATTTGATCTCCTTGTGTGGCTTCCCAATTCGCCCATTCCATACTACAATAGCCTTTGCATTTCCATCCCTGTCTCCAATCTGCCCTAATTCCAACCAATCTATTCTGCAGATATTTCAAAAATTTAAATGTATTCATAACTCTACAGTGGTCAAGGTATTTTAATGTCTTCTCATAGTTCTGGTTCTTGAGTTTTGTTTGCTTGGTGGGTTGTTTTGAGGTGGAGTCTTGCTGTGACACCCAGGCTTATGTCAAACTCCTGGGCTCTGCTGATCCTCCTGTTTCACTTTCCTGATTAGCTAAGACTTCAGGCGTGGGCCACTATGCCTAGTAGTGTCCCCTTGTTTTAAAATACAAATTTAAACCCCTAATTTAGAACACAAAACTCTGTTAACTGGCTTCCCATAACTGTAACAAATACCTGAGATAAATCAGCCTTAACGAAGAGAAAGTAAACTGGTCATGGTGATGTATGCCTGTAATCCTAACACTTTGGGAAACTGAGGCAGGAAGATTGCAAGTTCTATCCCAAGCTAGGTAATTTAGAGACTTAGTCAGATCATGGTGGGGAGTATGTGGTGGTGCCTCAGGGTGGTCAGCAGCAAAGAGACACAAGACAGGAGGGTCCCAGTATTCCCGTCAAAGTACTATCCCAGTGATCTAACTTTCTCCAACATGCCCTCATCTCTCAAATATTCCACTACTCCCAGGCTGGTGACCAAGCTTTTAATACACAGGCATTTGAGGGACACTTCCAACCAAAGTATCTTCATACTTTGACCCTCATTCTATATCTGTAATCCTGGGAGACCTTCCCTCAAATCACAGTACCAACAGATTTCCCGAAGACTGCTGTCTGTATGAAATGAGGCACTGCTACCAGTCTTCATTTAGCAGTTAGTTTCTGCTCATTCATTAAAATTCATCTCAAGAACTGATTGTTGTACTGCATGTGTATCACCTTGTGGTTCCAAAAGCATCCGGATCATAGCTATAGTGCCATACTGTAACCACTAGTTAAGTGGTTTATCATATTTTCCTTTCTTGACTATAAGTTACTTGAATATAAGGATTCTAAGTCAGTGGTGGGGATCTTTCAGGAAAGTCCTTGGGGGATTCTGAAGACTTGAGTCTTAATTTCTAAGGTCTACTTTAACTCTGAAATGTAAGACTTTTCCTCCTCAAAATTTAACTGGTGTTGTGGAGAGGGAAGAGAGCTTTGGAGTAGTTAAAGAAAACAAGCATATGTAGTTTTCATTCATGCCTGCAGTAAGACAGCTCATTATACTTAAATACAAGGTAGGGTAAATAAATATAAATAAGATAAATACCTTTATTTCATTTAGGAACATTTGTTTCCTATGACCAATTTTTTATTAACTCTTTTTTTTTTGGATTGTTTCCTAAGACAGAGTCTCACTCTGTAGTTCAGCCTTAAATACACTATGTGGCCCAGGCTGGCCTTGAACTCTTGTCAATCCTCCTGCCTTCCAAGTGCTGGAATTACAGGTTTGGCCACCACACTTGGTTTACTTATTAATTCTAAAACTGTTGTTCACTTACAATATGCCAGACACTATTCTAGTCATTTGGAGTATATCAACAAAACAAAAAGCCCTACTACCCTTAAGGAATTTACATTGATAGGCAACCAACAAATATAAGAAATAAGTTTCTTAGTATCTTGGGAGATAGTTAAGTACTATGGAAAACATAGAACAGAAGGGCTTTCTTTGATTTTGTCAGTATTACCAGAGGCAGTATAATTTGAGCTATTAAGTAAGTCATACTTTAAAAGGCAGAATTTAACCTCACCCAATCAGAAGAGAACTCAGAATTTACAAGATTCAGATCTGGTTTCCTTTTATAAATTTGACAATAAATGACTTTACAGTTATATCACTAGGAAAGTAATAATTTAGTGGCTCAGGGAATTGTTTCCAAGGAGTCAAAAGTACATTATCATAATACATATTTTTACTACCATAAAAAAAAAAAATGGAGGAAAAAACCCCCACAAGTCAGGAAAAATGTTTTGTTCTCGCCTGCAAGACTGCATTAATTAGCTGGGCATGGTGGCTCACGCCTATAATCCCAGTACTTGGGAGGCTGTGGTAGGAGGATCAGTGCAGGTTTGAGACCAGCCTGGACTATAAAGTGAGCTCAAGGCCTGCCCAAACTGCAAAGAGAGACCCTATCTCAAAAAGACCAAAAAAAAAAAAAAAAAAAAAAAAAAACCCTTTTCCTGAGGAACTCCCTAACTGCTCAACTTCCTGTTTTGTTTGTTTGCATTCTCACATGTAAGCTAGCAGATAGGAATCCTTTTAGAATTTTTAGGGAAGCTTAGTACCATAGCACAGGACTTTTACTACCTCTGGGATGCTTAGCAGGAGAACTGTATGCTTCTGTGGGAGAAATCATTTCTCCATCTTTACTCTCGAATAACTTAATCAAAAGATTTAACATTTCATGGTAAACAGCATTACAAGTCAAAATTAATGTTATGTATAGGCTAAGATAAAAGAGCCATGAATATTGTTTTACAATATTCACCGTTTTTCAAAGTCCTCCCATAATGAAAGACTTTTCTTGCACTTCTTGAAAACTAGAGTGTGTGGTACTTCTGATGACTGTCAGTTCCTGTGGGATGTTTACACAAAGGTACTTTAAAATGAAGAGACATTTTTAGAGCAATTAGAGAAGAGGCTAGACAGCAAAGAGACAACTGTGGGCCCCGCAGGTCGGGGTTAGGGTTTATTGACAGGACAGGGTCAGGCGTCAGCTTCTGCGCCAGTGCCCCATGTACCTGCCCTCCGGATACACTCAAGACCTCCCTGCTTCAGCCGCAGGCCATGGAGCGAAGGGAAAGCGGGAAGAGGCTAGTTCCGCTCGCACTTTTTAGTTCCGTATCAAAATACAAATTTGAAAATATTTATGTATATGTTTCTGGCGCAGATGTTATGTCACATTAGGAAGAAGAGCCTTTTAAAATACACAAAGCATTGTCTGTTCTTGCCTCTTTGTAGTTTGCAGTTATTGCATCCCGAAGAAAGAAATTGCCCGGCTAAAGTAGTCTTTTAATTTCATTTTTTAGTTTTGAGTTACAGGTTTCTGGCAAGCTCCCTGACCACTACTGTTACCTGA